GGTGTCTCACACACACAATTCTGTTGAATTCACAAGATAAATGAAGCAGTGAAAGTATGCAACATATTTGTTTCCCTCTTTCTCTTCTTATGTTTTTGTTTGGGTTTTTTTTTGTTGTTGTTTTTTTGGTGTTTTTTTTTTTTTTAATCCATGTCAACAGGAATGAAGAGGGTGATGTGAATAGCTCTAGGTTTGCCCTGTACGCTTCTACCTCTGTGTAAACATCTGCCAAAACCTAGTGCCTCCTTACCTGAAAATAAATAAATTGTTTCTTTTATTTACAAGCAAGGTACAAGGTAGAAAATTTCAATTTCCTGCAACACTTGAGGGCTGCTAAGGCAGGAATGATGGGCTTCACAAAAATAAAAGCTAAGATATTTCCAACAGCTGCATGATGTTCAGCAATTGGCAAGTTCTGGCAAGACTGGCTGTAAAAGCAACTTTGGCTTGGTTTTAATTTACACAGTAATGTAACCAAAAGAGTTTTATTGGCCAAGAACTTTGAAAGAAATAGCACTTCTCGGTATTCAGGGATTCCCTGGTAATTATTCTGTACAGGTCAAAAAATAATTAAATTATGACCTGCAAATCAAGCTTCTAATGGAAGTAGCTGTGTATTTTTTTTTTAGGGCTACAAGGTCCATGCTGCTTTCTTACTACCTAACACTACATAAATTATAACGATGACAAGCCTATGATATGCAGCAAGACTACTCACAGCTCAAGTGTCATTATATGATATATGAGACATGGAAATTTATTAATAAATCAGTACTGCTAAAGGAAAAACGACCATCCATTCTACTTTATTTCCTCTTCTTCAGGGATTACTGTTTTAACCTGATTCATGCACCTGACACAGGAGGCAAACACACATTCAGGTCAGGAAGACCTGAATGCTGTACTCAGCAAGCACTTCACTCGGCCTTCTGCAGACATACAGCCTGTCATGAAGCCATCCTTGCACAGGGCTTCTCACCTCTTCCAAAGAGTCCGTGATCAAAGACTGAATATCACTAGACTCATGGGGGCTGTGTTTCCTGTGATGAGAAATCAATTCAGCCCCTGATCTACTTGTCAAGAAATATATTGCCCAGTAGCATGAAGGTTGAGGGCAATCTATATAACTTTTTTTTTTTTTTCTTCAGAGAATGATGCCAGGCAGGATACTTCATGTTTAAGACACGCAGCATACAGTGTATATATATGCCCTTACATGAAGGGAAAGCTTAAGTGCACTGGTAGAAACAGGACAGTAAACTTAGATGCACCATGTGGGCACTTCTGATGAACACAGTACAGGGAAGAAGGAGGATATGTAGACGTGAGCAATTCTGCACAGGACACTTCTACTTGACTATTACACACATTTATGAAAACACAAATATTGTATACAGCAGCAACACACCTTGTTTGGGTGGATGGATATGGGTGTGCATGTCTGTAAAAAAAATCTTTCCTGGCTCAAAGTATCAAGGTAAGTGTTCTTCTAGCTTAACAAAAAACAAACAAACAAACAAACAAAAAAAAAAAAAAACAAAAAACAAAACAAACAAACAAAAAAAAAAAAAAAAAAAAAAAACAAACCAGCTGATAGTTAGTTGTCTGGCCCCTGATTCCTGCAAACTGTTTTTCATCTACTCTGTAACTTCAGCTTTGGGCCATCCCATCAAGAGCTCAAATTGCCAGTAATGTACCCTGGACTTCTGTGTGTCTCAAGATTTCTCATTTTGGGTGCAGGTCCTAAGCAAGGGTCCTTATGAAACCAGGAGATAAATTTATAAGGATATACCATGCGTGATGCAGTATTTCATAACAAATAAGGTCCGGTGTATTGACCAAATTCAACTTTATTACTATTTCTAAGACAAGCTCTATTTCTATTGTTACACCTATCACTTTTTAAACAAATGGGGCAAAAGACTGTCGGTGATATTTGGTCTGAATTTCAGCCAAAAATATCAGTCACCTACACCACAAATCCCTTAGCTCCATCCCTAGTGGCCCTTCTAACCTTGGTCTGTAAGTTCTGCTCAGTTTCCTATGCAAAACTCTCCAGTGGTCGTTTTCCACAGATCCACTACATATCAAACCAGAATTTATCAAACTTCTCACTAGAGTTTAATTTTAAACATATTTTTGGAAATACGGATAAGATTAATCTTTACATTAATTCCAGTGAATCATTTCATCTGTATATCTTTTCAGTAAAAAAAACCTCGACTAAACACTTGAATTTACAAAACATTGCAGGAACATTTTATAGTGTTATTTTACCAGCAAGAATTAAAAATAAAATAAAAATAAGGTGCCCCAGGTCCTCAAGTTTCTAAGAAAAATGTGTTTAGTTGAACCATCTTACACAGAAATAGCTTACTACACATGGACATTAACTGAATAGGAATTTACTTTATAGAATCCTTTGTAAAATTTCCTGAACTTAACCTTAATTTAAAATTCGTTTCTCATTTGTTCAGTGTCAAAAGGCAAGTAGTGCTGCTGTAGCAATTTGCATCTCTGTCTTTGGAAGCACAATCCAAGTTCTTGGGGCACTGTTTCCTCATTAGCCATTCTCCAAAGAACAAACTGACAATAATGGATTTAGTATTCCCAAGATACGCTGAGTGTACTTTACTGCTATGCTAGTCACTACTTCACTGAAAATCCTGTAATTTATTTGGGGAAGTAAGGCAGTGTGTGTGCATGTTCAACTTGAAGGAGTTTACCTCCACATACAAACTAATTATCAGAATTTTCATTTTAAAAAGGTGAGCAAAAGAAACTAAAAAATGACCCTACCTGCTATAAAATCATGAGATGAAAAACAGCTCAAGAATTAAATCAACCTGAAGTTCTGAATGAGGCTTTAGGTTAATTCTCAGCATAAGGTGAATGTTCATCTCATCACAGAGTGATTTCCAAGGCCTTCTGGGTTCCCCTTGTTTTTAAGTGATTCTATCAACTATCAAAAAGAAAATGAACTCACAGATTACCAGTAACATTGAAAGATTCATTTTGTTCACAAAGGAGAGAAGAAATTCACTTGCATTCTTCAAAGGGAAAGGATCAGGGAGGAACTACATGAAGGGAACTGAAGGAGCAGATATTCCCTGACTTCATAGCTAGGAAAAGAATGAAGAAAAGGGCATGGTTAGAAAGTAGATTTTTTTCAGCCACAGAAGACTTGTACCTACTGACAGACATATCATTTGAATAAATATTACTACTCATACACACCCTTTTCTTGCAGGTGTTCCCAAATTATAGTTGAGTGCTAAAGAGCAAATAAAAATGTTATGATTTCTTTTTTAAAGTATTACGTCTCCCATGGCTCCCATTATATTCCCTAAGAAGTCTGATTTGATCTTTCCTACCAAAAGGTCTCATCTGTTCCTACTGTACAAGGAATCAATAGAAGACATATTGAAACAGAGACTTATGGTTATAGGTGCATTTCAGTAACTGTTCTGGGTCAGATCCAGCCTTTGACTGGTAATTAATAAACATCACTAATTTATTCTTTGTTATTTATTACCGGTCACTCTATGAAGAATGAAATTTGGAAAGCCTCAGACATGGTAACTGAGCTTTTGGGAGAGGAGATAAGCCAGGAGATTATATTTTGCACAGTTGCCTTATAGAATTAACCATGACCTCAACTCATCCCTTTGTTCAATCTATGTCTTTGGCTTTCAAGGGATCTTGTGGCAGTTCCATATTTCAGCACTGGGGGTACAACATCGACTGAGCAACATGTAACAGCAAGTCCTTCTTCAAGAGTCATAGCTTGCAAGTACCCTTCAAGGTCATGATCATTACTGTCTTGGCAAGACTTTATTAGCCCTCATGAACAGAGAGCCCAAGGCAAAGGTGTTATTTTACAAATTCTTTGTCATATCCCTGTCTTTGTCTCCCTCCACAGCTGTATCTCATCCTACCAGTCACTTAATGGCCCATTCTTGATTACATTCATATCCTGTTTCTGGTAATCAACATTTGTAGAATATCCAACCACAATACCACTGATGATTAAGATCTCATATAGAAAACATCAGAAGCCAGTAATGCCTGGAGAGAGGAGAAGAAAAAAAAAAAAAAAAAAAAAAAAAAAGCCAGTTGTCCATCTATCTAAAACCCTAAAAACACTAAAGAACAAGTTGAGAGAAACAGAATAAAACCCCACCAGCTGCACTGGCTGAACTCAGTCATTACAGAGTCCTTAGCCATCAGTGCTAACTGAAAGGCAGGATAAAAATCAAATTCACCTGCAGTGAAAACAGTCATGAGATTATTATAAGACAGCATCAAAACCTAGGTCTCTCATAGAACAAGTGTCCTCTGCTCAAATTCTGAAGCTCCAGGAACTTCCTTTCCAACAAGGTAAGCCCAGAACTACACAGAATTCAGTCCCATTTGTTGGATGTTGAGACAGTGACATTTCACTGTCAGCCACATCTTTTAAAATGTTGACCTGCTCCAGAAAGTTTAAATGCAAATCCTGACCTTTTAAATGAGAAGACATTTTACCCTACTCCAGCAGTTACCCTCCCATAACCATCTTTGTGGTGTCTTATGTTAAACAGGATTCACCACTCAGCCCAGAAAGCCGACACAGACACTTCACAGACAACTTCAGTTACAGGAGTTTTACAAGATTCATCTACTTTGAAACAAACTAACAAAAACAACAACAAGGTGAACACGTAGCAGGTAATTATAATTTTAACAGCCTCATTTGACATCATAAGTTATCTCCAACTCTGTCATTTGTACAAGTAACACCAGAGAAAGACAAATGCCTTTCAAAACCTTTTGGACTTTGCTTGAAACTTAAGAGACCTGACAAGTAAAAATGACCAAAAATTCTCCCCCCAAAAAAATAATCACAAAACACTGCAGCAAAACCAAGCAGAGAGCTAAAACCCAATCTAAGAGCACGCTGGGATAGACCCAGGGAGAGAAGTCCTGCCAACCAGTACTTGATGGCAAGGGTTACTTACAGTAGTGGTGATAAAATTGACTTCCAGCCATTATTAGAACTCCAGACCTGATTTCTACTTTATCTGACCTTAGGTTCCTGGAAAGCAAAAGGAAACTAAAAATCAGGCATTGTACAGAACCAATGTGGGTAACTTCACCACAGACATCCCCCTATAGATAGGTTTTAGTGGGGACTGGTTGGCTGTTTCTTGAATCCCCTGGGTTAAATCAGAGGATGGGAACTCTAAGGATCTGGATCCACCCTGACCAAGGTCTGACACTTGCAAGAAGCACATACAGGGCACTGTACCAGGGCAAACAAGTAACAACTGCCTTAGCACCAGGAGGAGATACAAGAGCATATGATCTAGAGGCAAATATCTCCAGACACAAAATAAAATTTAAAAAGAAAAACAAATTTTAAAAAGGAATAGACAAGGAAAGTTTTATCCAGAATACATTGATTTTCTAGTCACAGCAAAAACATAATGCAGAAGGTGCAGGTAACTTTGGGGTCCTCCTGATAAGATATGTAAAACTCACATCCTTTATGTTCACTTCTTTTTTTTATTTTACTCCCTAGTCTAAATCATCTTGATGTCTAGACCTGCTCCGAACATCTATTGTAACCTGAGTTTTGCCTCCATTTACCCAAATGGCAAAGCAAATAGTGTTCCTATTTCTGCCCAGTGAGAAAAAAATGCTTGAATACCAGCAGAAGAGTCCTTGGGCCCATGTAAATCACTAGGTCACCATTACCATCAGAATAGATGACAACAGGTAAGTTCTTTCCCTGGGAAAAGCAGCTTTGAGACCCTGCAACAGGAATAGCTGTGAAACTTCTTTGTGCTATATACACACAGATTCATCTGCTTTCTTGATCTTATGCACAGCCACCCTGCCCCTGAATCCAAGGGTGGTACAAGGAGAGGAAGTGGGGACAAAAGGAGACAAGTCTGAATTCCTTTGGTATAAAGATCAAACTTACAACCAAGGGACAAGTCACATGAGAGTCATACTTCTTACAGACCCCATTTGTAAGGGAACCAGAAGGCTGACTAGCCCCTAGATTTAACTCACAGATGCCAGGAGGCGATTATGCCTCCTGCTCTTTGTCCTGTTTCTCAGCAAAAATGCTAAGAAACATCATTTATCTCCTGTTGTACAGGTTCTGTTAACACTCCCAGTTTGGAGCTCCTCCTCTGGTCTGTCAGCACACTGAAGCTGGAAAAGCACGGTGACAGTGGCTCATCCATGAGGGGATAAATATCAGGAGAGGGAGTATAGTAAGGAGCCAGCAAGCAGCAGGCAAGAAACGCTTCATAGAATCACATCCCCAAGAATCTACATGAGTTGAAATCAGAGTCAGTTATTAATCTAGCTAGACACTGAGATCCAGCAGCTGGAGTAAATCAGATTAAACTCCTTCTGTATCAATGGCTAGAAGCCAAGAAGGTCTTTTTTCCCTTTTCTTTTGAATGATAACCCAAGGGATATTTCTGTCTGCTTAGTTAAGTAAACATACTGCTTAAAACAAATAAAAAGAACAGATCAAAAACATCAGATGAATTTTAGTGTGGTAGTAAGGTCCTTTGAGACACAACCCAAAGTGAGAATAAAAATGTGGTTATTTCCTAGCCTGGGGGGGTTACAGTAGTGGCGGAGTAATCAGTCCATTTCACCTCCACCCTCCAACATGGGATGAGTCTTTGAACATATTAAAGACAGCTCAAAGGGGGTTAAAAGAGACTCTTTCTTTGCCATGGGGAGATTTGCAAAGCACAAGACAAGTAATCAAAATGGAATTTAAGGAAAAAACTCCCATTACACCAGGACAAGAGAGAAGAAAGTAATCCTAGATTATTTAGGAAACTGAAGTTTTCATTTCAATTCTCAGAAGTTGATGAGAAGCTGAGCAGAGTGACACACTAACAAAGTGACTAAGGAACCCATTCCTCCCCGCCCCAACCACCTCGCTAAGCACCCTGCAAACACAGCTGGAGCTGGGATAAGAAACTGCTAAATGCTCCTTACCTGCCCTGGCCTTGGTGGCTCTGATGTTTGCCCAACCTCTTTGCAAAACCAAAGGGAAAAAAAAAATAATCAAAGAAAATTTAAAAAAAAAAAAAAAAACAACAAAAAAAAAAAACACAAAACCCAAAACCACAGATGTTCCTTAAAAGCCAACAGCAACACATAGTAACTGCTAGCCAAGCAGATCTTCCACGAGATGGAGACTTAATGCACTTACGCTTGCCCTGTCAAGGGAGACGATTTCAGACACTTCTTAAAAAGACAGCAATTCGAGTTAAAAAAATTGAAATAAACCAAAACATATCAGCGCTTTAAAGGTTAACAGCTTCTGCTGAACAACATGCGTTTATCCAACCACATCCTAGAGTAGTTTTTTCAGCCCTGAGACCAATGAGCACAGCTAAGAGGAGGGCCTTGGGATGGTGAAGAGGCTGAGTTACCCCCTCCCCTCTGCCTTCCTTCTCCACCTCCCCCTCTTTTTTTTTTTTTTTTGGTGGGGTTTTTTTTGTGGTTTTTTTTTTTTTTTTTTAGTTTAGTAAATTAATGCAGCAAGAAACTCCCAAGATCTGGCGAGTCCTAGCAGGGGAGAGAGGGCAGAGGGGAAATGAGATGCATTAGGACGACACTGAACCACTTTCTTTCCGAGCACAATGGGAGTGCTTCCCAAGAAACTTCCCCTTCGCTCCCCTCCGCTCTAGCCCTGAGCAATGGGACACCTTCCCTACAGCAGCAATAACTTATTCGGGAGGAAAATAGCCCAGGAAACAGGGATCAACAGCAGCCAAACAGCGGGCAGGAAAGCGACACAAGCGGGACTGCAGCACAGCTCTACACTGACAAATTCCTGTGGATGTAATTAGGAAGACACCCCGGCTAGCAGCGGAGATTAAAGCCCTGGGCTGTTGAGGGTCGTGTCCCCCCCCTCCCATCTTACCCCCCACCACCTTGATGGCAAACCTACACCCCCTGCATCTTCCCGCTCTCGCCAGCCTGATGTCCGGAGCGAGATCCCGCTGAAGGGAGATTTCGGTGCGGGAAGCCTGGTCCTCCGGCCCCCAGCACCACTGCAGTGGCGGTGGCGGGGGCACAGGAGGAGAGGAGGGACGAGCCGAGGCAGCGCGGGAGCGGAGCCGCCGGCCGCTCCGCAGGCGCCCGCGGAGCGCCGCGCACCGCCACTGTCCAGGGTGCTGAGCGCAGCCGCCCGGCGGGCGCTGTCCGGGGTGCTGAGCGGAGCCGTCCTCTCTGCTGCTGGCCAGGGTGCTGAGCGGAGCCCTCCCGGCCTTCCCCCTGCCCAGCCCGCCTCGGGAGGGGGGGGCTCGCTTCCCCCTACCAATTCTCCCCAAGTGCCCGGTTACTTTATTGGCCAACCCCACCGGCCCACCCCTCACGGAGTACAAAAAAAAAAAAAAAAAAAAAAAAAAAAACCCCACAACAGCAAGAGAACTGGAAAAAGAAAAATGTGCAACGTCAACGCGCTCGGAGTCTACGTGTGGGAGACGATCGTTTTCTTCAGGTAAGGCTCGGCTTTACGGGGGGAGTGTGCGCGCAGCGGGAGCTGCCGGGCCCCCAAGCTCAGGGCACAGCCTTAGGACAGCGGCGTTCCTCCTTTCTCGAGCTGCCTTTTCGCCTCCTCTCGGTTCCCCGAGACTGGCTTTCGCACGGCTCTGGGCTTGGGACTTTCCGCGGCTTTGGGAGTTACTCGGTTTAATTAGCACCGCAATCTCGCTAACCGCAGTGCTGAAAACACCGACCCCGGCTGGTTGCAAAGTGACAACTAGTGGCGGCTGGGAATGCTGCACTTGAATTTGCCCGGGTAAATATTCCCACCTCGCCCCCTCCCCATCCTCAGATTGCAGGTTAAGGTGAGTTCTGTAGGATGCTTTCACTGCATAGCTCTGTGGGAGTCGTTTTCAAGGAGGGCTTACCTTATCTCCTCATCTTGCTATGTCTGAAGCCACTAGAAGCAAAGAAATAATCTCCTTTCCCAACTTTTTTATTTCATATTTTTTTCAACATCCTTCCCTTACAGAATCTAGGTGAAAGCCAACAGGGATATGGGGAGCTTTTTGCTATTATATCCATTATTGCCTAGCTGTATTTTGTCTCTCTTAGATGTGTTCAGTTTCTCATTAAGGCTAAAGTAGGAGATGGAACAGTTTTAGTCTTAAATAATTGTTTCTGGTCCATCTCTCTTTGCAGTGCCTTTTTTTTTTTTTTTTTGTCCATTTAATAAAAGAAATTGGAAGGTAGAAACTCTTCTGTATTTGCATGAATAACTCAGCCTGCTGTAGCAAGTGATAGATACCAGACACATGAAACAGAAAAAAAAAAAAAAAAAAAAAAAACAACCTGCTTTCATGACCTGAACTTGCTCATCAGTCTTAGACTTCATTTCAGTTGCATGGCTCTTACTTCTGCATTTCTGTATTTTAACAAAGTCTTGTAGTTTAATGGGAAAGAACAGACATTATTTACATATACATCACTGGTGTAATACTTATTATTTTATGAATCACAGTAGTAGACCTGCTGATACTGGCCCAACTTCTCTAGCTGGCAGCGTCTTTCCTTTTGAAAACTAAAGTCTTTCCCCAGGCATAAAAATTGGGATATCCCCACTTTTTTTTTTTTTTTTTTTGTAATTCCACAGAAAAATCAAAGACAGCAAGATTGTAACATGAACTCAAAGCATTTAATGCTTATGTTAGGTAAACCAAGAAAGAAGTTCTAAAAATAATTAAAATCATCAGTAACTGAAAAGAAATGCACAACACCCAATACACTTCAGAGCCATCATTTCCCATCTTTGGTCACAAGTATAGAGCAGCACTGCAGAATACAGTAGGGTAGACTAACAGAAGGCATATCTATGTGCAATAAAGTCTGCTTAAACATTGTTTAACTGAAAAGAGATTTAAAAAAATAAACAACACATACATGCTCTGGAATGCTGTCCATAAATAAGCTAGAAGACAAAAGGGGAAAAAAGAGTGGGGGACACGCACACATTTCCAGGCTTGAGTTTCCCACAGCCCTGGAATTAAAGTATGTGTCTGGCTCTCCTCTGAACTGCCTGAACAAGTGAAACTGGTATATACTTGTCTTGCTGATCCTGTTCTATGATGCACACTTATGCACCACACAACACATATGAGTACTTACAGATTCTCAGCACATCAATTAAAGTCCTGGGCATTCAAAACCTTGGTAAACCAGTCCTTTCGGGTTCTAATGTAAGTGTCTATACCGTTATAAATTATATACATATACGCACACTTGTGTTCTATATGATTATGTCATATTACATGCAAAAGGTGCATCTGGAATGTTAGTCTTCCTGAAATTAACATTTAAGAAAATTTAAAAATGCTTTAATCCACTTACAGGGATGCACTGAAACCAAATTTCACATATATATATATACTGCAACCATTTTCCAAGCAAGCAAAAATTCAGTAATCTTTGCTCAGAACTCACACTAAACAATGTTTTTCTTTTTTCTCCTGCTTTGTGTTATGTGTTCAATTTATTACAGGCCAAAAATCTACCAGCCTTTCTGGTCCGGGAATAGCTTTGCTATTTCAGTTTCAGTAAGAGAAGTTTATTCAGTAACAGTCATTCATAAATTTAGTGTGCCAATTGCTCCTGAACTCAGTCATACATAATGTTTAAAAACCCACAAGCTGATAATCCAATAATCCATAATACAAGTATGCATTGCTTTAAATTACAGTGTGTACCATACTTTATTGCCAGTTTGTAGAAAATATTCTGGAAAGAGAACCCATTACATGTTAGCACATAAACCACAAAAATGAAGAAATCTAAAGTCCCAAAGGAAAATTATATATAGCCAAAATAGGAACTAAGACTAGATCTGTTGCTTAATAAAAATGTCCTTTACCAGCCTTTTAAAAAAAAACAAGACCCTGTGGGAAAGAGTAACAGCTGGTGTGTGAATGCAGACACTATGGAATTGCCAATATTATATTTGTTTCTGTTACAGTTGGGGTGATTTTGAAGGAAATTGCAGTAAGGGATTTATTCTGACATGCTTTTCTTTATGGAAGAGTATTTTCCATTTTGCTACCTGCCTTCTCAGTCTGCAGTCACTTAGCTGTGACTAAGACATTTACCGAGAACCTGGACAGAGGCAGGGATGGAAACTGTGTTGCAGTGGAAGATGAAGAGTCTTCTGACAGACAGACTGCTTGACCAACCTTTCCTTACACATATTTGAGGAAGGAAAAATGTTATTTCTTTAAGATAAAAATAGATTGGACAATATTTATGCAGCAACTTCCAGATGTCCTGACTATATCTGTGGAGACATACAGAAATGTTCTCCCAAAGTCTAACTACATACAATGAATGTTCATACCCTGCTTCAGTTATGAATTCTTTCATGCAGAACAAAAAGATACCCCCTAACCTGTGATGATCTTGCCTGGATTCTCTGTTGTACCATCGCATTTTAATAGCTGTAGTGGTCTAGAAACACCACTGCATAAGCCTCAGGGTAAGAATGCATCTTTTACAAGTTATGAGTTAAAAGATAGCCTAGAACTGGCACCTTACCCAACTGAACACCATCCTGTGAGGCTTTGAAATTGTTTGGGCCTGATTCTTGTCCTAATTGCACTTCTGTATATCAGGAATCAGCAGCATGACCTTCACTGAATCAAGATTAGAGTTGGCCCCTTCTGAACAGCAATCTGTCAGCTAGCAGGAGTGATTCAAGGCTACTGCTCCAAGTGAATCACAGGCTAAAATCTGATGCCAGACTCAGACCCTACTGGATTGCTCTAACCAGCATTTTTATATTCCCTCCTGTCCATAAGAGCTCTTCAATTGCAGTTTTTAAAACAGTAAGATGCCATTGTGAATATGATGCCTCTTTGTAGAAAGACAGACACTTTTTCCTGAAACAAACATGACAAGTAAAGTAAGTGAATGGAAAGGTGCTGATTTCAGCCCCTTGAAAATACAAAAAAAAAAAAAAAGAAAATACAGTGGAAGGAAAAGGAGACTAATGTGCATGTTATCTCCAAACCTTCTGTCATAACTCTCAAGTGCTAGGTAACATTACAGAGGTACCTGTGAATGAAGCACTAACCAGAGACTTCCAGATCTACAAGCTAAACAACGTAGCAAATATTCTCAGTAGTTAAAGAGTATTTTCCTCACACAAACTGAAATCTACTAGAAGTTGTGCCTTATGACTTGTTGTGCCTCTGCTGAGTCTGTCAGCTCCTCCACAAAATAAAAATGATTTAACAAAGGTTTGAACTAGAGGGATCTAAGGACACTCTCTAGCTTCTTCAGTCTGCAACCTGTAATAGCTCGATTAGAGACCCTATTAAAAGGGTTACGTATTCAAGGTTTGAAAATGTGATGAGGTAGACAGTTCTACCTAGAAACCCTTGTAAATCATTCACAAAGAAAGATTAAGTTGGTGTCCTCCCAGTAGAAGCACAAAATGTTTGGGACCATGCCTTCTGCAAGGACTTTGATACACACTTTCATCCATCCGTAATTATTGACTTGCATGTTAGGCAACTAAGACAAATCAACATAAAGCATGCAAAACATTTTCTAACACAGTCTAATCTTACCCTTCCTCTCTAAACAACTGACAAACTACTCCAGATCTGCTCTTTGCACAGATCAGAACAAAAGAATGGCTTCATATATATCTGGGAAAAAGCCATTTCCCCTCCATCATGTTGGGTGCACAGAGCAGGAAAACCATAGCTGATCACCATACTTAAGAAAAACATTGCAAAACACATTGCTGTTTCTCACATGTACTAATAAAATACCCTTTGTCTCTGAGGCACTGGTGCTACACAGATTTTTAAGTAATATAGGCTGGCTGTCCACCTTGACTCCCACTGAACATTACCCTATACAGCCACAAATCCCACTGGCAGAACACATTTACTGCTCAAATGCCTGGAGGTAGCTGCTTCTAGAAAGAGATTGATATGTGGAGGGAATGGTAGGATCCTGCCCTTACATGCAAGAGCATTAGATCATATGATCTGTCTACAGAGACTTCCTTCAGGAACAAGAATTTAAGCATGGGAATTTTGTCCCCCCCTTATTCCTCTTCTGCTGTGAAAGAGGTGTTGGAGACCCTTATGTATGAAGCAAGTCAGCAGCAAAGGGCCCTCTGACTCTAAGTGTCTCAGATTTAATAGCACAGACTAGAGGCGAAGAAGTTTGTTCTGCTACTAAGTGATTCAAGTCAGAAAGGAAAACACTTGTAAGCAACAGCCCACTGCAGGTTCTCTGGTCTCGGGCAAACACTTTCCTTGTCGGCTTATGAAATTCATCTCACTAAATCCTCATGAGCTGACTTGGATAGAAAAGGATCCCAACATCTGAATTAAGATGTTAATCAATGTCCAAAATTAAATTACTTTACTATCCCAGTAATCATTCATCTGTAATAGAAAACCAGCAGAGAAGTCTGTTCTCATTTCATCCTAGTATGTGGGTTAAAAGGGC